ATATATATATATATATATATATATATATATATATATATATATACCGTAGTAGGCGTGATGATGTCATAAGCTAGGTCACTTTGTTGAAAGAAATGGTGCAATAAAAAAAATGTCTTCATTATTAAAGCTAATATAAATGGATAATATATATCACAATCTATTTTGTACGTAACTTATTTATGGCCTCCTTTTACCAGTATAGGCAACATGTTAAAGATGATGTAGCATCTCTTACCTTTGACCAAGAATGAAATATGATCCTAGCATTGGTCAATGGCTTCAAGTTACAAAACAAGGCAATTACTTTAGTAAAATAACTAAACTCATTAAGTTACTATGTTACTTTTCCCTGGTTTACAGATAATAAATACCATAACTAAATGGCAATAAAAAGTTCTGCTCAACCTCAAGACTCATTGAGATTAACTTTTGAAGAATAATTCCAACAGTACATCGAAATTCTACAGTTAGGACTAACAGTTAGTATAACTTGCATTAAAGAAAATATAAAGTCTCAAAATTTCAGTTGTAATTTTATTTTGGAAGAAATTTGTAAGGATACAAATATTTTTTTCAAATTTGATATTTTCTGTAGAATGCCTGAGCTGGAAAATGTTAAACCTTGCTTTGAGTTGTCAGTTCTGGAATAACTAATATTTTGTAAAGCTTTTTTTTTGTTTTACTCAGCCTGTGTATGAAAAATAAAAACCAATATGCATGTTGTTTACTGAATTGTTGTGAAAAATCACTTTAAAGGTGTCTTGTGATAATTCACTGTTTACTAAAAAGGTGTTATAATTCAATCATACTTAGTTATATTTGCTTAAGTATATCTTATTATTTTTAGTTCTGAGAAGTTAGTATTAAATTAATACTTATTTTGCTTTTGTGTTCTAGCCTGCAGTGCCCATTTATTGATGTAAGTAACAGTGCCTCTGATACTGAAGAGCGGTTTGATGAACCTAAGCTTCTCAAAGCTTTACATTCCCTCATAGAAAGCATTCAGAGAAGAGCTGACTTGTTACAAATCTACCATACCCTTCCTGAACAGGCTGCCAACCCTGACATTAGGTAGGTGTATTTCTTGTATTGAAATTTTGCAAGTAAAAAGTATATATTATCCAGCTGTTTTGAAACAGTTGGTTTTCAGAACACCCTGCTGAATGTGACTTGTATTACTTCAATAGAAAAGTTTCCATAAAGTGTTTCTATTTTGATCCTCTTTTGAATTTTTTTTGTTTTCTTTTAGTATTAATTATTCTTGATTTATATGTATTAAAATGTTTTCAAAACTTATTCAGACTCAAGTGTTGTCACACACAATTATGAACCCATTGAAAGCTCTCCAATTGTTCAAAATCCTCGATTTTCCTCAGAGTAATAAATTAGGAAGAAATATATTGCCCACAGTAGGAATAAAAGAAAATGTGAATGCACTGTTTTAGACTTAATTGTCAGATGCGTCCTGACTGGTGAGCATATTTTAGACATCGAGTGCATGTTTAAGTATCAACTTCCAGAATTGAAGTTAAAATAATAATTCTAACAATTTGAACAATTATAACTCAAAAATATTTTAGAATTAATATTTTGTCATTTAGTAATGTTTATTCAATGTAATTTGCAAATAAAAATGGAAAAAATAGTTAACTTTCATTTCTGTGCACCTGTGGGGAGTCTTGTCTGTAATCATTAAGAAAATAATTATCCCTATTTTTCATGTCATTTCCCATCTCTGCTAGTAATTGTATTACTGCAACCCTTAGTTTCCACCCTTTTATGATGTCACAACATGTGGTCTGAGCAATTACTAATGTAGCACAGTTTGTGAATTAGCTACAGGCATCAGTTAAGTAGGATAGTGCAGATTATAAACTATTCACACCAATCTAAAGAAAATAAGATGGTTTGAACAGTAAATTATGGTTTACCGAGAAAGTGACTATCTGTAGGGGTGTGAACAAAGGAATCACTATGATAGGAAGTTTAAAAACTTGGAAACAAAACACAGATCCAGGAATATTTTACAACTTCTTTATTATTTTTATTTCTGAAAATGTTTATGTTAAATTATATCTGTTTGAATTAATACTTCTTCAATTACTTTCAGGTAAGTTTTGAATAGTCTGTGTGAAAAGTAATTTTCATTTTAAGATTAAAAATACTGTTCTTCATCTCAAAAATCTCAAATTTCCTTTGTGTAGTCCCAAAAACCTCCTAAATACATTTCAAACTTTTTTTTTCAGTAAAACTTTATATTCTGTCTGTTATTTTATCTACTTTATCTCTATGCGACAAGAGCCGTTACAAATTCATCCAAGCTAGTCGTTAACTTTTCTACGGGAATGAAGCTTGTACTCTGAGTGAAATTGACGCTTATCTGTTCACTATACGTTACACAATATGTCATTTGATAGATAAATCTTGACTTTCTATTGGTTATAGGTCAATTTGACCAACCTCATAACCACCAAAAAAAAGTGAAGTAAATTTAAATTACCCTTTTATTCTTTGTAGAATGACTTCAGATTGTAACATGAAACTACATTCATTTATCCTAAGTAAATTTAAGCTCGTACTGTATACATCTATTTATAATTACATATTGTTGTTTTATTACCCTTTTGATTGCCTTTTGAACCGTGTCTAACTACTGGTTGTACCATTATAAGTTGTAAATCACTCGGGGAACGTGCAGCTTATGTTATGCTATTAAATTACATTACCTTTTTTTTTCTTGTGGTCAATTGTCGATGACACTTATCTCTACTTTTTTATACTAATAGTAGTAATGCACTAAATAATTTCTACTTAATTAAATGTTGCACCAAATAACATACACTAATAACATATAAAAAGTAGACAATTTCCCCTTACTCAATTTTTCTGGCTTTCTAACTATGCGATGAGAGCCATTACAAATTCATCCATGCTAGTCATTAACGTTTCCACTGGAATGGAGCTTGTACTTTGAGTGAAATTGACACTTATCTGTTCAGAACACAACGTTATACAATACGTCATTTGATTGATGAAATTCTTGACTTTCTATTGGTTATAGGGCATATATAATTAAACGTAAGAGAGAACTATTAACATACCCTGTGACAGGTGGGTGTGGCAGAAGGGGTATGATTTTCTATTTGATAGTTCTCTAAGCAAAGAGAATTGAAGGCTATAAAAACTGTGGTTTGTCTGAGCAATGATGATTTTATAGTGAGTAATTTAACTGATTCATGATGTAGGAAACGATGTTTTATAATAAATATTAAAAACACGATATTACAAAAAACATCTTTAATTATGGATGTTTCTGAATTTCTTCAACTTCCGTCATCAGTGATAATGATGAAAGTTGAAGAAATTCCAAAATGTCTGTAATTAGAGCATTGACTGCTGATTCTCCGTATAGGGTACGGAATGCCTCCAGAAGTTGAATGCGAGTGTGCCATATACGGCGTATGGCTTGCAAAAATTCCACGTACATCTAGAGCAACTGCAGTCAATGAGTTAAAGATGTTTTTTGTAGGTAATGTATTGTTAGCTGCAAGTGATTCCAGTTATAATTATTAATAACTTATGATAAAAAGAAAACCAACTGTATACATCATAACTAAAAAGTAACGTATTAATGTAGCTGATTCTCTAAAATCAAAACAAAGTACATGATGTCTTATGAAATCAGTACACAAGAAAATTAAAATCTATAATGATTAGAATTCCTTGAATCAAGAGTTGACTAAACGATTATTTATTATACTTTTGGCTATAAACACAGCAAAATCTCTGAAGATTTTGCTAAAAGTTGAAAGTTATTTATACGACTCTTTAATAGTTTGTGGTTAATTCAAGCCTGTATGCCTATAATGTAAGTTTATTTATTTTAGGATCATCATGTGCATGCTGTGTGGAGATCCTTACACTGTTGAACATGTCCTTGGGCCACTACTTAGTCACCAGTGCTGTTTCTTTTCTTCCCCTTACACTATTACATTAGAAACTTATCTGGGAGACTGCAAACGAAGTGTTGAGGTACGGGTCACTTCCTACCATGGGGCCAATGCTTTCAGAGAAGAACTTGTTCATGGGTTCATTCTGGTTTATTCCACTAAAAGAAAAGCTTCGCTTAGTACCTTAAGGTAGGAAATGGATAATGGTTAGTTTCATATATTTACAAAAATTAAGTTTGATGAAGTTTTATTGTTTGAGTAGTTTAAAAGTTTCTATGTGTTACATTTATTAATGGTTGGGAGATAAAAGCAGACTTGTTTCTTACAAGGGAATTACACAGATCTAGCCTGAATAATAAACTAATAATCCAAGGTTTATTGGAGTTTCTTCTTGTTTTCCCTTACATTTAGCTTTCATGGTGTATATTTTAGAAGCAATGAAAAGTACTGTGAAAACAAAACAATAAAAAAAATTTTTGCATAGTCAGCATAAGACTGTTCTATTTAAATGTAAAAAAAGATCACTTTTAATCATAACAGCCCTTTCATGCTATACATGGGAGCCAATGATTATGTAGACATTTTTCTTTTATAGTGCATTTTCAATGAACATTCCAAACATCCCAGTCCAGATTTTGGCTGTCACAGAAACAGGTAGTGCAAATGCTTTTTTCTCAAGTGATCTGTCACATCAGCTAATAACAGAAGGAAATGCTATAGCTGATAAATTACAAGCTCATTTTATGACTTCGGTGTCCACATGCCAACAGAAAAGTAAGTTTGAATTAGTGGTAACATATACTTAGAATTAAAGTAATGCTGTTTATACTTCAACTATGTATTGTTGTATGTAACGTTATCATTGCTCATTTTACTATTTGAAATGAAAAATTGGGTATAAAGTTATTTTATTGTATTTTTAAAACATCAGTTATGAATATCAAGTGTTGGTATTTTCGGAGTATATACATGTACAAATACAATGATTTTATGAAATTATTTTTTCTGCTGTTTTTTGATATTTTTCTTTGGTAGATTTTATTTCCAGATGATTATATTTTGATATATGCACATTAACATATATTCCTAATAACTTTGTGTTCCCATAAATTTTTGAATAGTGTATAGCAGTAAGAATTTGAGTGAAAGGTACTATTAAGTATCATTTCATGTATACATTTGAACTTTTATTACAATATTTTGTGCACATACACACATATATGTATATATATATATTTATAATGCATTTTAAAATATATTGCAAATGGAAAAATTAGCAATTGCCTTAATGGGCTCAGGTAATAAGAAATGTAATTTATAAAGTGCCACACTTTGGCACATTTCTGAAACTTAAAAACAAAGTGTTTTTGTTGGTACTTCATGGTTGCAGCTTTTTTATTTTTAAAGCTGCATTCTACACACCATTTTTCAAGGAGGTGTCAGAGAGGAAGCCTCAAATAGAAAAAGCCTTCAGCATGGATGATTCTGATTACTCCTTAGAAAGCTTCACACCTGTACCTCCCCCAGTTCCTTCTCGACAAGAGTCCTATCATATACGAAGTGGATCACTAGAAGATGGGTATGGTTAATGTTGTTCAGGAAGATTAAATTTAAGAATATTTTGTGATACAGTTTTCTACTTTTATCCCAATATTTTACATTTTAGACAATCTTGGAGAAAAAAAAAAGAAGAAACAAAGTGAAAATGATCACTTCAGCAAGTTATAGTGAAAGACACGCGCATTTATTATAGACTTATTTACATACGGCTTTGTTGCCTGTAAGCAGTACCTTCCAGGTATGGTACAAACAGTAGCATTAGATGAGTACTCCATACTTGTACTTTCTGTCATAGGTTTTGAAAAATATTCATACAAATTACTATTACCAATTTCCAAAGTTTAAATCAAAGAAACATGGATGTTTTTTATAGTTTAATGGTATTTTGCTGTCAATTAGAATAAAAGATGGAAAAACAATTACCGTACTTTGATGATTTCACTACAGTTAGTGTTAGGGTAGAAAAAACAACAGATAAAATACAAAGTTTAAAAAAAACTTCTGAGATTTATGCAAGAGGTTCTAAAAGCTGTAATAGTGAAATATGAAAAGTGTAAGATAAAAATGAATATTTTTATTCGTAACATGGAAATCACATTTCTCTCAGCCTGACTCAGTAAAAGCTTCATAAAATTACAGACAAAAATCGTTAGTAAAAATGTTTTATTAAAAAATCTGATTTTTTGTGTACAGCAAACTTCTATTGTTTAATAAAAATTTGACATATTTCATGAAAACACACATTCAGAGTTATAGCATGCATAGTTTCATCGTTGCAGGTAGTTTACAAAGTTGGTCAAACTGACCCAAACTCTATACAGATGGCTTAGACAGTTATATTTTTCAAATATGGTGATTGTATTATGGAATGAGTTGGCATCAGTGGTAATAGAAACCAAGAGGGGAATTGATGTTTTTCGGAAAAGTAAGGGGTAAGTTTAAATTTTTACTTTCCCCAAGGGTGGGTATGCAAGAATAGCCTTGAAGAACCAAATGGTCCCTTGCTGACCATAGGTTATGTTATCTTAACATAAAAATCACTGGATTTAGAAGATTCAGATTATTCATCACTATTTGCATTATTAACCCTTTAGAGGAGGGTCACGGGTGAAATGCCATGTCATCTCGTTTGTTCAAATTTTAGTACTATACATTAATTTCTTAATTTCAAAGTAAATATTAAAAAAACACAGACAAACATTGATTTTTTGTATCACATGGTATGTTGAATGCAGCACTGGTTCAAATTAGCTGTAGTTTTGTATGAATTAAAAACTCAAATTACCCATATTGACAAGCTAGAATATAAAAGAAGAAGCTCTTATATTTTCAATTTGCTGAGATATTGCTCATATAATAAATCAAACACTGCCCACCTCTTTCCATTTTTGAAACACTCCCTTATATGCACTTCTATGTATGACATGAATAACCAATCGGAAGCTCAGAATGTCCCCCCCTAGTGGCTTTCTCAGCCATGTTAATGGACTTGAATGCTATTTCTTTCTTTTGAACCAATATTTCAATAAGGTCGGTTGTGTCTCTAGTCTTATAATTTGTTTTTATTCTACAATGAAAGAGGTATAATTTATAATTATTTCTTAATTTATGTGGTGTGAGATAGGTCAAATCTACTGAATCCGTACAGAGATTATTTACTGAAAATAACAGATAAAATACAAAGTTTTTCTTGAGAAACGTTTGATAACTATCTGGATATTATAAAGATTTTGTATGTGAAATTTGAAAATTTTCTGATGCATAAAAGTATTTTTAATCTTAAAATGAAAATTACTTTGCATGATGGGTAGGCAACATGTGAAAAGAAAAGAAAGACATGAAAAAAACATTACAAATCTTAAGACTTAATAAAAAGAAATTGATATTTTGCATATTATAGCATTGTAATGGTAACTGATAATCTGCCAAATTTTGTAACATTTGCTTACTAATTTAAAAGCTATAGCACAAAAACTATAACAAACACAAGATGGTTACGAGGTTGGTTCCAGGTACCGAGCCCATGCTGAAAGAGTTAACCCTGTCGCCATGGGTATCCTTTACTGCATATGACACAAGGTTTTAGTGTCTTACATTAAAAATTTTATTAAACTACTTTTCTTTATGTTATACCAATTAGAATACCATAAAATTCTAGCTAATAATTCTTATTTTAAGAGTATACAAGTTTTAAGTTCTTAATTCTACAAGGAAATATATAAAAAAATCCTGAATTTCCACTAGTGTGACCCACGTGATACATCTTGTCTTAGCATGTCATCATCCCTACTTTATCCATCACCCCCTTGAAAATGTACAAAATTAAACGTAAAATGCTCTCTATAAAATTATTATTGTTCAAACAGACCATAATTTTTATAGCCTTCAATTTTGTTTGGTTACAGAGCTATCAAATAGAAAATCAGACCCCTCCTGCCACACCAACTTGTCACATCCTCTCTTTCACAATTGGTTGATAGTTCTCTCTTATGTTTCATTATATATTACCTATAACCAATAGAAGCTCAAGGTTTTCATCTGTCAAATGACGTATTGTATAACGTTGTATTCTGAAGAGAATATCGCCAATTTCACTCACAGTACAAGATTTGTTCTCGTGTGAAAGTTAACAACTAGCTTGGATGAATTTGTAATGGCTTTTGTTGCATAGTTAGAAAGCCAGGAACATTTTGAGAGGTAAGTGAATTTGTCTCCTTTTTGCAAGTTATTAGTCTATATTTGGTGCATTATTTAATTAAATATAAATTATTAAGTGCATTACTACCATTAGTAGGGATGAGTGTCATTGACAACAGACAGCAAGAAAAAAGAAGATTGGTTAAGTATTTTATTTCTTGTTTTTCATGTTTATTCTTTATGTATAATTATAAAAGTAACTAAAATATAAAAATATGGATCTTTTGAAGTTATTGAAGACTAGATTAGGTATAATAAGTAGTAATGATAATATAATTAAAATGGTTCATGAGGCACGCACGTGAGCAGCTTGTGGGTAATGTGATTCGATAGCATAACATTAGCTACACATTCCCCAAGTGATTTACAACTTATAATGGCATGGATAGTGGTTAGACATGGTTCAAAAGGCAATAAAACAATATAAATTATTATAAACAGATGTATAATGTTGCGAACTTAAAGCTAATTGGGATAAACAAATGTAGTATCATATTACAATTTGAAGTCATTCTAGAAAGAAAAAAAGGTAATTTAGGTTTATATCGATTTTCTTTCTTTGATTATTACGATGTCAGTTGGTAATGTGTGTCGGATCTGATACTGTCGAGGTTAAGAAAAGACAAATGTTTGTTATTTTCATGTACAATGGTGAATTTAATGTTAGGGTGAATGGAGTTTGTGTTCTATAGAAGTGAAACTGGCAAAAGTGTCTTTGACATGTCTGTACCAGTATAGGGGAGGATAAAGTGTGGATTGTATGGCTTGTGTTTTGATGTGGATAATAAATATGTTGTCGAGAACAGGGTTGCCCATGCTTAAACCATCTGTTTGAAGAAAGTTTTTTGAAGTTGTTTTTTTTTGTTGTTGTGAATTCTAAAAGGGAAACGAAAAGTGTGTTGAGGATATGAATTAAAGGATTGGAGTCATTACTGTAGAGGTTAAGTGCAACATTAAAGGTTTCTTTGATGGAAACTTCGGTGAAAAGTGATACAGTGTCAAAGCTAGCCATCAAGGCTTTTGGGTTTAGTTGGATTAGTGTTTTTCTGAAGTTAAAGACGTCGTTTAAAAAGGAACCTGCAGAGAGCCCAGACTATGTATTTACCAAGATTATAGTTAAATGAGTCATAAGTGGATAGTATAAGTCGTATGGGGCAGTCTTGTTTTTGTGGTTTCGGGATGCCATAAAATTGTGGTGTGCATGAGTCAGTTTTCCTTAAATGAAAATAAAGCTGTTCAGTAATCAAGTTGTCTTTCATCATTTATGACAGGGTTTTGTTTAGTTGTTTTTCATGTGTGTTTGTTGGGTTGTTTAGGATGGGTTTAAATTTCTCATTGTCTGAAAGGATGTTGTTCATTTTGTTGATGTATTCTGTGTTGTTCATGATTACAGTAGTGTTGCCTTTGTCAGCTTTTAAAATTTTAATGTTGTTTTCTTCTTTGAGATTGTGGATTCAATTTATCTCATTTGTAATATTGGTCCTCAGTTTACGGGTCTGGTTAACTACATGAATGGTTTTGCTGGAGAAAGTGACTTGTCCAACAATTAGTATTTCATCAGTTTTATTAAGTGGGTATGAAATAAACAGTACAACCTACAATTACTATTATTGCAAATATTCTCAAGATTAACAAATGTTGGGTTGATACACACAATATAAAGAAAACTGTTCACTTGTTAAATGTGGTATATACATAACATAAAACTGATGGCACAAGATGAAGTTATGGTTGTTTTAGCAATCGAATTATACTTGTTGCTAAGGTGTTTTGCCATTTATTGTGTGTGTATGGTGAAATATATTATCCTTGTTTTATATAGCAACTTCATTAATTTTTGATGCAAATAATTTTATGTAATGTTTTTTATCCACTACTAATTTTGCAATTTGAAGTAATTTATATCTAAGTTATATGAACATTGAAGGTTTTGTAAGTTGTTGCAAACAGCTTTATAGGTTAGTAACATAGCATTTAACACAAAAGCCAATTCATACACTATTTGCAACTTGCCCTTAATTTATTGATCATTCAACATATTGAGTTTTTTTTGGGGGGGGGGGTAGTTTCTAAAATCAGCCAATGGATTTTCAAACTGCCTTTTACTCTGATATTTTGAGTCAATATTGTTTTTTTTTTTTTAATATTTATGTTTGAGAAATTTCTGAACATAGTTTTGAACAGTAACAGTAATATTAGTTGTGTATGTTAATTGAAAGAATGATACTTTCCATTTTAACTTTGAAAGCATTATTAACCATATTTCCTTTTTGGTGCTACAGGGTGGATTCTGAAGGTGTATATGAACAGTTGCCAATGGACAGTGGTCATGGTCATGAAGATGAAACAATTTCTCCCACTTCTTATTTAGATGACCCTCCTTTAAGCCCTAGTGATGAGAGTGATTTATACACTAATGTATGTAACCAGGAAAATGGTGAACATTTAGTCAAACCTAGCCAGTTAAAAAATAGAAGAAGTTTTCAGGCAGGTAGGTGAAGTGATTTAAATGTTTAACTAGTGCAATAACTTTTTTTTTCAGATGAATGAGTCATAAGTTTGTAAGCTTTATTTTTTATTTATATTATTATTGATCTTTTTTATGATATACTAAAAAATTTTGGCATCATAGATTTAATGAGTAAAATTAAAGGTTAAAGGTCATTAAAAAGTCATACAAGTACCACGTTATAGAGCGGGATTTTTTAAATTGCCATGTAAATGTTACATGTCTCATGTTAAATCAAAATATTAAATCTTTAATATTTTTAGTACATGTATTTAATCTTGCCTCAAAATACAAGATTTTTAGCATTTCTAGGATCTTCAACAACAGAAAAATTTGCAAGGATAATTTTTGTAAATTAAATTTCTTATATTTTCAGAATTACATCAGTACATTATTATATTAATCAACAGTTTATTTACCAAGTCTTAAATCTCTCATTAAAATTCTTTTGCATGAAGTTGAGAATGATGATGTTCTACATTAAGTGTTTTGACTTGAGTATTTAAATTATGATGGCACTAGGCTATGACAAAAAAAAAATTTTTACCAGAGAACTTTTGGAAAGACGTCAGGTAACAAGTTTTCATTTTTTTGACTAAATTATTTGAACATCTGGTTACCATGGTCGTATCAGAAAATAATGCTCATATACAGGAAACTCGGTGAGAGCAAACATTTGTAATGTAACTTAACTATTAGTGATAGACCAGTCAGTATATATATTATGAAAAGTATTCTTATCACTAACTGAAGAGTGAAGGAATAAAACATTACACCCACACATTGCAAGATCACCCATACACATACCTCTGAAAACAAACACAGTTACTTTATATGGCTTTTTTATTAATAGTAATTTTATTTAACCCTATGTATACAGGTAAGGTCAAAGTATGCATGTCACAACGTTTACACAGAATTCAGAATTTAACTACACAACTTTATTACCAATGTATGTCAATAACCTTGGCATTCAAATATAGTTTATAATTTGAATGTTAATATTATATAAGGTTTACTTTCTTAATTTCAAGGGGAAATATTTAAATAAATTCTCAGTCTTCATTTTTCTGTATCATTTTAGATTTTCTTTCTATTCCTATGTGATCTTCTAAGTTTCCAACAACTTACACATTTATACTGTAGATATCCCTAAGCTAAAACGTTAGTTTGTAGACTTTATGCTTTTTGCTTTACTGAGATATTTGCAATAAAGTGAAATCCACATGCCAAGCTTCTCCTAATGCATCCTGCTTTTCAAAAAATGTCATTGGTTCTCTTGACACATGCTGTTGGGTTATTTCTAACTAATAGAAAGAAAATAATCCAACTTACTGAATGTGGTTCACCTAGAAGCCATTGAGATAACTAGTTTTGAAAATGCTGCCTTCAGTTTCTTGGTTTGCCAGTGTTGGAACTGTGCTTGAATAACTATTGGAATTACTTAATGCTTTTATAGCTTAGTTAGAAAACCAGGTACATTTTAGTAGTTTTTCAGTCATTCTAATTTGTATGGTAGCAGAGCTTTATATTCTAAATCTATTAGCCGTCAAAGGCCTTACAAAAAAATTAGTGGAAGTTTTGAGATGTATATACTAAATTTCTTGTTTTTTATGTATATTTTCATTTATTGTTATGAAAGTAACTAAAATATAAAAATTAGAAACATGTTAGGTTAGACAAGAAAACTTTAAATGAAATAAATTAAACAAAATACTTGTGACACTTATTGGATTGCACACATTGTAATATGCAGTTGTGTAATTTGATGTGTGTGCATTACAAAAAAAATTGTCCATCATAATAAGTAGCTTTTGCCGTACTCTGAAGTGCAACTGGAGAGAAATAAAACTAAATGAAAAATTTATTAGCTTTGGCTGTACAAATAAATAGTGTGTAATTGTCTGTAAAACGTGCAGTCATTCCAGAAATAAAAAAGGGTATCTTTAATTTATTTTTTAAGTTTCTTTTTACATGTGGTTAGGTTACAAGGAATTCAAAGACAAACCTAGTAAAAATACTTAATTAAAAAAATATGATTTTTTGTGTACAACAGACTTGCAATGTTTACTAAAAGTTTGTCAAATTTCATAAGTAGTAAATTCAGCTATAGTATGTTTACTTTCAAGGTTACTATGTGTGGTTACAAGGTTGGTTATTTTGACCAAGTTCCTATACATTCAGTTAGTGAATCAGCAAGGTTATATTTTAACAAAGAAAACATTAAATTTCTTGAAACTATCCTGATAAACTGTAAATGTTTTTACATTTGTAAATTTTATTATAGAAGGTCACCAATTTTTTAATAAATTGAAGGTCACAGATGTTAATTTTCTGTTTTATGTACTTCATGCTTTTTCTATTTCTTATCTAATAAGCTTTTTTATATTTTGACAATAAAAAGTAGTTGTTGCTAGTATTTGGTGTCTTTTTTTCTTTAACATGTGTTTGTTTCTGCAGCTAACTAGTGGCTACTTTCCAAAATCTTTTTCAGACCTCTATCACCAGTCTTTTCCTAGCACAGAATCTCTTGACCGAGCTGTCACAGTAAAATCACGAGATTCTGCTCCTCCTTTACCTCTCCCCCTCTCTCGATTTGATAGAGAATCTCACACAGGCATAGATCTCACATTCCCTCCCCCTCCACTTTCCACATTCACAGGAACTGTAGCCTCTCCTTCATCCTATCAGACTCAAGTCCATTATTCTCCTTGTCTCTCTTCTAATCAGTATCCCCTTGTCCCAGGATCAGCCCACCCTTCTCTCTATGCTACAGGAAGGAGAAGGCCTGGTGCTCATGATCCCAAGTCCTCTCCATTTCCCCAGTATTCTTTAAAGAAAATGGAGCGAGGCAAGAAAAATGAGTTAGGAATTCCTTCTGCTCCATCAGCCCCCAGCCTAGCTTCTACACAGCCTGGACCAGCTGATGACTTGGATGCCTCAGACAGCGTTACTGATGATGATGATACGTTGTCATCAGGCTTCAGTGGTGATTAAAATTTTCCTTTTTTTTTTTTCTTTCTTGATGTGACTGGATACATTGTTAGCAAAAAAAGGATATATTGCAGCAAGGGCTTTATTCAACCTTTGCATAAGCACGTGACCTTCCGATTTAAGTTTTGTTTGATGATATTCATGCAAGTCACAGCCCTTCAACTCTTGAAGCATTTTTATCTGTCTTGGTTTTATTGAAGACTTCTGCATGATAATGTTACTTTCTTTATGAATTTAGTTTACATTTTTAAGTGAGTAATATAGATGTTGTATGGCATGTATTGTACACTGTTTAAAAAGTGGCATATGAAATATATGTTGCTATGCTGTTTATTTTCACATTATTGTTTCTTTGTTTTCTTGCCTGAAGACTGATTGTAACAGTGCCATGCAATTTATAATGTATTTTGCAGTATTAAGTAGCCCTTCAGATAACCATGTTAGTGTTAGTTTGAACTTTTTTTAAATTTTATAGTAGTTAGTAGTAATGAACCAAATAGTTTTTTCACCTCTTGGGTTTCTTTGAGCATTTTGTTTTTCCTGCATATCTGACTCTTACTGTTTTTTGTAGTTGATATATTTGTATGTTATGTATATGTAGTAATTTTTAACTTATTTGTAGATATTAGGTATTTTGTATTATTTCTGTGTTAGATGATGATCTTGTACAGCTAATGGAAGAAAACAAATTATAGCTTTTGTGTAAATTTTTAAATTAAAGTAAAAGATTACCTTCTCAAGATTTTTTGATTAAAAAATGATTTTTCTATTAACCCTTTCACATTGAGTAGGTCAAAGTATGCATGTCACAATCGTTTATAGAGTTACATTGAAAATTTATTTAAACTACTTTATTGTCAATGTATACGAATAAACTTGGCATCAAAACGTTGTTAATAAATCAATTTTTAAATGAAGCTTTAAGTTCTTAATTTTATAAGGAAATATTTAAAAAAATTCTCAATCTCCCTAGTATGAGAATTGTCTATTTTACTTCCAGTTCAAACTTTATTCCCATGGGAAACACATTGACGAGCTTAGCTGAATTTTAACGGCTCTTATCGCTGAGTTAGAAAACCAGAAAAATTATGATAGTTAGTGTGCTATTTGTGTGTTATTATTCTGTGTCCGTAGGTGCATTATTTAATTAAATACAAAATTATTTACTGCTGTTGTACCTTTGGTATAAAAAAAAGGGTTAAGTTTCATTGACGGTTGACAGCAAAAAAAAATATAGAACCAGGTAAGTACTAAATTTTTTGTTTTCATTTTTATATTTATTATTATAAAAGTAACTAAAATGTAGAAATTAGAAACTCGTTAGGTTAGATAGGGTTAGATTATGTAAAATAAAGAAAAATGATAATAATTAAAATTTGTCATGAGGTATGCTCGTGAGTAGCTCATGCTTATAAGTGTAGTGAGTGTGATATAAGAAGCCTAAAAACATAGTGTGGGATCACCTAGCCTACAGCCAAGATCATAAAATTTATTGTGAAAGTAAAAATAATTATAAGTGTAGTGAGTGTGGTATAAGAAGCCTAAAGTAAAGACATAGTGTGGGATCACCTAACCTAGAGCCAAGTGCATAAAATTTATCATGAAAGTAAAAATACCAATTAAATTTTAAACTTAAATCAATTCTGAATTAAGCTATTTTCTGTTATATCACCAACGTTTTTTGTAAAAATACAAACCTCTTTAATCAACGGAGCCTCTAAATTAAGAAATCAACAAATATTTTTCCAGTTTTGTTGTCTGTATATTTAATTTTATACTTTGAGTACATAGACTAACAACAGTATTAGGTTATACTTTTGAAGCCTAGCAACATGACATAAAAGCCATTGTTGAAATGTAGTGTTACCAAAATGCAGTGGCTTTTCTATATATTAGAAGTTGTTAATCTAACTGATTTTTCCCATTAATTATTCTACTAATATGCCACGAATTCATTTCATGAATGATCTTAATTTTGATTGACTCACAAAGAAATTTACCAATGTTTGACTGCCTTGACTGCACTTCTGTTTCTTTGTTGGTCAAACTTAATTTTGCAATTGATTTCAGTTAGCTATGAAATGTGAGATTAGGGTATACTATGGGGTTTGTTACTTTGTTTGTTGCCCTGTTACTTTTGACAGGCCATATGCTAGTATATATATAAAGCACAAAAATCTGTGTATGTCTGTTATCAAACTACTACTAGGTTGCTGGGTCAATCTCAACCAAACTTTGTGGGATGATAGTTTGGAACAAAGGGCATGTTAATGGGGGGTTCACAACCATTTACACCCCCATTATTGATGCTATTGAGCATTTATTATTTTTGACATAAGTTAATGTTAACTATATTCATAGATAGTGCCAAATCCTTAAACCAAAAAAAAAAATCTATATTACATTTTCTATAACATAATATACACACAGTGTGGAGGGAGGACAAACAAACATTTTATCTTGGAGAGTGTGTTAGCACTCTCTATGGAGGAATGCAATGAAAAACAAAATATGGCCACCCCATTGCAATAATACATAAACTCAGACAAAATGTATACAACAACAACAATCATAATGCTGATATGAAGAGCTGTTTCTTGAGTTATAACCACTTTCTACTTTGACTTGTGACTTCATCCGTTAAGTCACTTCTGCAACCAATGGCCACCAATTAATTAATCACATGAAACTCTGTGGAAGGACATAAAGAGCTGGTTGTTGAAAGTGGGTAACAGAAAGCACCCCTACCGACACTAATTTGGCTGTTACCTCTTCTTACAAAGTCACCATGACCATTGGCAAAGGGTATACCATGTTTTAGTAATAAACATATTGAGTTCTTATAGTTTATACAAAACTTTTGGTGAGGTAATAATGAATACTGTAATAATATGTTATAAATAAATTGTGTGAAAGTTAGGATTTTTGTGTTATTTATCATAGCAAGCACCTCCACATTTTTCAAGTTCATGAACCAGACAATATATGGGTACCTCAGCTTGTTGGTTATAAATAATATAGTACTGAATGTCAGAGAGACCTATTTGCAGTTTCTGAAAGAGGGGATGTGACAGGTGGGCATGATAAAAGGGTTCTGGCTGTCTATTTCATGGCTCTGTAACCAAATAAGATTGAAGGCTATAAAAATTATGCTTTGCCTGAGTGTTGATGATATTATAAGTAATTTATGTTAAATTTTGTACTTCATGGAGGGGTAGTAAATAAATTAGAGAAGAGGGAATGCCTCGAGAGCAAATTTCACAATTCTCACACTGGGGAAAATTCTAGAATTTTTTTAATATTGCCTTATAAAATTACGAAATTAAAACTTGTATACTATATACACTATTAAAAATATGGATTATTAGCTATGTTTTTATACTATATTTATTAGCGTAACATGAAAAGAAAATAGTTGAATTAAATTTTGAATGTAATTTACTAAAACTTTGTGACATGTACAGAAAAAGTGTCTGTGGAGAGAGGGTTAAGTATAAATATATGTATACCATTATAGGCATAGGGTAAACAGTTGTGGTTTCCTGTTACAATTAGTAGTCATTCCAGAAAGAAATAAGACTAATTCGGAATTTTATGGTGGTTACGGGGTCAGTCAAATCGAGCAACCCTGTATAGTTATAGTATAGATAATAACAGATAAAATATAAAGTCGTTCTGAAAAATCTCATTTGACATTTATTTAGGAGGTTTTAAGGATTATGCTAATAAAAAAATTTACAAATGATGAAAAGTATTATTAATCTTAACATCAAAATCAATTGGCACTTGGAGCAGTCAACACTAACACCATATAATTGTGGACAAAGTTTTAGTAATAATACTAAATTAAAACATCTGATATTTTGTTTACAAAAAAATGACTTTTGAAGTTTACTGTAAAGTTGCAAAATTCTTTGAAGATGCATTAGATACTTTAAGAGTCATAGTATATATGCCATCATGATAACAAGGTCGTGTAAAATACATGAGCCCGTTGTGATAGGGTTAATATGAAAAGAATGTAATTTAAGTGAGAAACGCCAGGTTTATATAAAGCAAAATTTATATTAGTATTCATTAAAATTATTCTTCATATGAAAAAATTGTCTGTGGTTACTTGAGGTCAGTATAAAGAAGTTCTAAGTTTAGAGAACTTAAGTGTAATATTTAGGTGCACATTCTATTGAAATAATTTTCATTTTGCAAATCAGAAAGTCACATAATAACTACAGCCAATATAAAGTTGCAGTAGAACAGCATGTAACAGAACTATATTTCGGCTTTGTAGATGCTAGTGAAAATTAATCACTTTTTGGAAAGGTATTAACAGCCCTTTCCAATGCAAAATATTTATACACTTAAATTGTAAAAATGTTTTCTGATCAGGAATTTAGAATTTCCAAGCTGAGGATATCCTTTACTTAATGGTATTGGAAAGCAAAGGAATATGAATTAACTCAGGACACCAAGATTATTCAGAAAGAGACTTGCAACAAGTTGTACCCAAATGTAGTAAACAAAGAGTGGCATCTTCTATAAGAGAAGAATCCACAAACACAATAGTTAGTGGCAAAAGCCATCCATATGTCCTATACAACAGTACACAACATAATCAAAAAGATCTCCATCTGGAAAAAGTGACATAAATTACTCCCACAACATAACCATTCAAGCAGATGGAGAATGAAATAGGTATTCATGCTATTCTGTACAAAGACATAACAACCAAGTCACTGTATGCAGCACCTATGGATTTCTGTGTGATCAGATTATTGAAACAGACACTGGGAGTCTGTCATCTTTGTACAGTAGATGGCTTATGGAAAGCAGCAGGTAGAGAGGGTGTGCTTTGGGTACAACATCATTCTGATAAGAGTATTTTGCTATGGAAACTACTGCAGGGCTTTTGTAAAGACTCGTGGTTGCCATATAAGATGCAACTGGATGCACAGTATGGGCTGTGATGATGTGGGGAAGTTCCAAAATCATTTTAAT